TTACTACAATTTGTATTGAAATTCAAAGATTCTTGCATACATAGTCTAGCTCATCATTACCAATAATGTTCTGCATTCGTGTTCATTTTTATTTGAAACTTGTTATTGGGCTCGTCTATTTTAGAATCAAATTAAAGGCCTTTTACTTTCTTCTAATGCCTAAATTAGATTGACATCTAAAATAGAATATTTCCAGTATGTATGCCCATCCATGTCTGAGAGAACACATACATTTTTAGTCTATTTGTCATCATGGTCACTCTATTATCCACAGCTTAATGTGTCATTAGATAATGGCATCTATTTCGGCAATGTCGTTCATCCCAGTTACCCTTTTGGTATTGGAGCATATTTTGTTGTAGTTACTGGGTAACAACAATTTTGGTATGCAGCTGGGTTCTTTAGTGCCTTATCTAACATTCAATTTGAATATGTACTCGGAAATGCTATTTTTCTTCTGATGTTTAAGATTGTTTGTTTTTTTCTCGCAAAGTCAGCATTTTTTCTTCTCATCATGGGTGTAGTACTTCTGCAACGATTGTTACTTGTTTTGCTTTTCGAAAAAAATAAAAAGAACTTTAACAAAAACACAGCAGGGCTGTTCAAGCGCAGATAGGCAGAGCGTTTACTCTTTTCCACTTCCTGAATAGAGAAGTCTGTCAACCCGTTGGGTTATAGAAATCAGCCAAGACAAAAGCCTGGATAATAAACAAACCAACAAGGAGTCATCAGTAAGTCAGTATTTAGTCTTTTGCAAGAAAATGAAGCTAATTTGGGTTTTGAGAACAAATTTGTATTCAATAAAATCAGTGGCGTTAGAAACCTCAAGAGCTCCCAGTGCTATTGTTTGTGTTGCTTCAACACAGAAGTTTGTTTGCCAGAACATTTTTTTCTCTCTCTCAAAAATGTATTTTCAGGTTCCAGTTTCAATGAATAAGTCACTTGAAACGTCAATTTGAAATTTGAGTGAAAATTAGTTAAAAAAAAACTATATCATATTTATTTCTTGTAAAAAACATTAGAAATTCATAAAAATATAATCAGACAAATTTGATCGTAATATCTTTGTGCGTGATGTTGTATGGTGCCATTGACCTTTTTTGATCTGAAGTTTTGGCTGTATGTATAAAATGTTTTGGTCTGGGAGAGCAGTCATTAAATGTAGCAGTGAAAAAGAAAAGTATTTTTTTTAATAGTCCATTTTCAATCATTTATTTCAACGTTACATTAAACTTGAATTAATTAGTCGGTATCCTTCGAATGAAACGTTTTGTATGAAGAATTTAATGATCTTGCTTTGTTTTGCTTTTTAGTTGTCTTTTTGTTGTCAGATTGATTGTCAATTTATGCTTTTCGTAAGGTTGCCATCTGCCCTGAAGTAAAGTGCTGAAAAGAAAATAATCCCAGAGGGGTCATGCATGGTTTCTGTAATGGTCTAATTGCAGGTTGAAATATTGAGTTGTCCATAGACAGAGACTGATCATGATGGATTGTGCTTTTCACCCCCACAATAAGATTTCACAGGTCACTTCTTCCCGAGTGATCAATGGATTCAAGATTCTGTACATAGTAGTTTAGATTAATTAGGCGAAAGAATTTCCTTGGGCCACTCCAGTCCAGTATCATCACAGGACTCTTTAGCTTACTTGTCATTTGCAAACACTGAGGTCATTTGGTCTCCCTAGGTAAATATTCTTTGTCACACTACCAGCTTTTTTTTTAAAATAACAAAAAAAAACAAGTATTTACCTAGGAACTGGGAGGAGGGTGACGGCAGAATATGATAATGATAAAAATTTAGGACCTTTTTCTGGTTCCTTTAAGAGTTATGTTAAACAGATGCGCTTGTCAGTATAAAACATTACGTATATGTATATTAAATAAAATATACATCTCTGAATTCATTGATGGAACACAGTCTGTGGGGCGAGGGTGTGGCAGATAATATTTCTGATTATTTTTGACACTCGGCATTTATGATCATCGTAAAAAAACACAAACAATGTTTTTAACGTAATGCCTTTTGAAATTAATGACTGAAATGCCCTATTTTTTGAAGTGATTGATTAACGGGTAAAAATTAATAGTACGAATAAAAAAAAATACCACAATGGTAGATAATTAAACTGTTTTGTCTCGTAAGATTAATTATGCAAAATTATTTGTTGGGATGTTGAAATAAATCCTTTCACGAAATTTTGCAAACGATTTTGCCTATAATGCCAGAAATTGTTCATGTTTATCATTAATTTATGTTCTCACTAATAGGTCTTGCTTAGTCTAGAGGATATTTTTAGGTATGTTTTGCGTTGATTCTGAATTGGGATAGAATTGCTATTAAAATTCTTTTTCTTTCTCATTATCATTTGAATATCGGTTTTGTGGATTTTGATATCGTTAATACCCGTTTTTTTAGGTATATATATATATATACCCTAATCCTAACTAAAGTCAGATGAAATATTTTGTACTGAAATAAATAAAATTGAATGAAGAAATAGGGAAACCATTATTAATTACATATATTTTTTTTTTAAAAAACAAATTTGGTATTTTGAAGTTGTCACTTATATACAACAAAAATTGTTTATCTGGGCTTTTCAGTTTTGAAGCTTTATGTGACCTCCATGTGTCACTTATAATGTAGATTTGGTATATTGTGAAATGAGATTTTTTGTAACATTTTGTTAGCTTTTGTTAGCTACAACTGAACCTACATTTAAAACCGATAAATAAAGCCGATTCCAAAGCAGTAATTTCTATTCCATATTGATATGAATTCTCAACGTTTTGCATCAATTATCAAACAGTTGTCTTTTCATGGGAGGTATGAAATTGATTGAAAAAAACCTGATTTGTGTGCTTGGAAAAAAGCAAAAGAAAATTAAAAAATGTGTTATTTTATTGAGTACTGTGGAATACTTTATTTTCGCTGGAATTAATTTTCGCTGAAAAGGGTTTTTGGGAGTTTTGCTTGGAATTTATTTTCACTGATTTTTGATGAGATTAATGTAAAATATAGGAAAAAATGTATATTCGCTGGTTTTTATTTTCACGGAATCATCCCTTTAGCGAAAATAGTGAAAATAAAGTATTCTACAGTAGTTTGTCACAGAAGTGTGCACATAAATTATTAGTGAATAGCAAATACTCCAGACTTTTGTTGTTTGCCTTTTTGAAAAGTCAATTGTGAAAGCAATAAATTGTAACAAAATAAAACATGCCTACGGTAAATATTTATTTTCAAGGGGAAAAATGACATTGATAAAATGGTGTGGAAATAGAAAGGAGACCCGTTTTTGTGGGAAAGAGAGCAATATAATACCTTTAGTGTTTTAAAAGTTTGAGCAGGAAATTTGACTTTTTGTCATCTTTTACAAAGTAAATCAGCATAATTTTAGTTATCAAGACCATTTATGGAAAAAAAAATACACAAAAGCAATTTTGTCTGATTTTATTGCCATGGTTTTCACTGTTTTCACGTGTACTGATTTGGTAGCTATCGTTAAGGGCCCTGCTTTTGTTCTTCTTCCTATTGTCTTGTTCATCATATCACAACCACGCTCACTTGGTCGAACTAAGCACCAAACAAAAGATGCAGAAATGTATTCCGGGAGGTTTTCTCTTTGTCTCTGAAAAATTCCCTTGTGGCTATCAGTTACTAGTGTCACATGATCTAATAAGCTTGATTGTATATCTGTGTATTCTGGTATCAGCTTTTTCTTTGTCTCTACTCTACATCAGTGACGAGTCGCTCCTTTGTTTAGGTTTAGTAATTGCAACGTGTGAAGCTGTGGTCACCAAGCAACTGAATCACCGTTACTCAATCACTCTGCTCAATTTTTTTCTTGAACTGTTTCCCAAAAAAAGTCGTGGACACCATGACAGAGAAAAGCGACTTTGGAATTGTAATTACGTGATTGTTTTCATACTTATTTATTTTGCTCATATTCATTATCCTTAACATTTTATACCGATAACAATTGTTGGTTAACAGCCAACTGAAAGGCCTCATATAAATATGTTTTCAAAAAGAGTTGGAAAATTGCTTTCATCGGAAAGACCCAAGCATCTGTGTAAATCAAACAGTTTCCCTTTATCAGTAGATCAGTTGTTTGAGGCATGTTCTGTCCATCAGTCAACTGGTTTTGTAATTTGATAAAAGCCACAACTTGCAGAAAGAAAGAAAACGAACAATACAAAAATGGAAGCAAAAATTACACAGAATTGCTATTAAGAATAAGAAAAAAATTAATTTAATAAAGCAAGTTGATTTTTTTTTAGAAAAAAAGATGTTACTTTTTTTCCCATTCAGAAGTGAGGTCAAAAATCAGCACTGCAAATTGATCGTCATCGGCAACCACATCACTCGAACAATACCAAGAAAAAAGCATAATTCAGTTTTGGGGTCAGTTGAAAATGAGTGCCATCAATCAAATTAACATGTGCGAAGCCAGGTGGTGTCGTTTAATGAAAAAGCCTCTTCAAATCATATACCAACTCAACTTACCCAGTTTTTTGTCACTCTTGAATAGCACGTGCATATGTTGTGATACCGACCTTTGACCTCAATAACCTCATTTCAACATGGTTTAGTGATGGCGGCCGCTGTATTGTGTTGATACTTATAATCATTTACAATGTTTAACTAAAAAATAAAATAATTGTGAAAATATACCAAGCTGGTGAAACCATTATTCTTAATTGTTTGCATACGGAAAAAAAAAAAAATCTTTCCCGTTCTGTTTGTAATGTTTTCTTTAGATTCCAGGACAGAAAATGATCCATATTATTTGTATTTCTTTTTTGTTTGTTGTTATTTCACCCTGGTAGCAGATATTGCTTTTGTTTGTAGTTATACAGAATTTTACAAAACTAGACTAAATAACAAATACTAAAAGCTCATTTTAGCATCTGCGTTGTTTTTAATTGAGCTTATTCCTCTGTATCCATTTATCAATATTTATATTTCTCTTTATTTTTGATTCTCTTTATCACAGGACAGCAAATAACCGCTCAGGACTTGAATGAATTGACACGATGGCCACAGGCAACGCAACCGCTTTTTCAGACCGTAACAACGCAGGCGACTGCGCCATCAGTTGTGGCTGTTACTGCAGCAGCAGCTCCAGTGACAACAACAACCATTGCGTCACCAACAATGAACGTCAGCACGCTGAGTCCAACGCAGATTACACAGCAGCCTCAAGTACAGATTGCCCAATCAGGAAAGAGATTGCGTCGGGTGGCATGCAGTTGCCCAAACTGTAATGGCGAGGGAAGGTAAGACTGAACTTTGAACATGTCAGATTCCTTTTATTTTGGAGATAGTTTCCTCGGTTGCTGTCACCTTACTTTTCTAGTTGTTCTCATCACTGATGCCAATCATGGTCGATTCCTACTTACCTGGTTGCACTGTTCTCATTCGCCCATACAGCAGCTTTTCACACAATGAAAAATCAGATAAGAATACTTGAAAAATCACTTCCCAATCCTCAACGATCGTTTCCTGATCATAAATGCCACTTCCAAGTAGTAAAACCAACCACAATGTCAATTCACCCTCGTTTTGAAAAAAAAAAGTGCATTTAATATGAAGTGCATCGTCGCTCCCACAGTGCTTTGCGGTTCACACAGGAAATGACATTATGATTGACATGAAAAGTCAAAGGTTAAAGTCAAAGGTTTGGCTTGTAAATTGTGACCCCCTTCCTACCCCATTAGTAATATGTTTGGTCATATAGAATTTTTCTTAAATTCTTAATCGTGTGTGTTAAGTCAGTCTTCATCAATTTTCCTACAAATGGTGACAACTTAGCCTTAATCATGTAATTGTTGTGTTAAAATGGACCCTCCAATAGAATCACTGGTAAACCTGTAATAATGTTATGTCAGTATTGTTTAACCTTTTCACCACTAGTTCCCCTTTTTAATCACAAATTCACAAAATAGTCCCGTGTATAGTCTGCACTTTCCTTCAGAAGAGTGGGACAAAAATTGACAAATTTTTTGAGTAAAAACAGAAAATTGACTCTAATTTTGTCTGTTAGCTCCAAAATTAGGGTTCATTTCCAGAAATATTGAAGAATTTAAGCAAAAAAATTGCAGACAAATTTGAGCGAGTTACTAGTAAGGGATTTTTTGTATGTATTAGATTATTCCCGTAAAAAAAAAAATACCGTGAAATAGGCATAAAGCAAATACTGTAGATTGCTTTAATTTCACACATGATCAATTTGTTTAGTTGTGTAGTGCTTCGTATTGGCCATCTGTGTCCCACATTTAAAGGCTATTGATTGGTGGGTTGATCTTCATAACATTTTGTTCAATAAAAACAGAACTGTGATTCCAATCGTATATATTTTGATCTGAAGTACATAGTTTTTAAAAAAATCGAACAAATTTTTGAATTTAAAAAAAAAAATCTCTGAAGTGCCAAATGTGTCTCAATGTTATCACGTTGCTTTCAACAGGAATAACAGTGAGGCGGGGAAGAAAAAGCAACATATATGCCACATACCGGGTTGTAACAAAGTCTACGGCAAGACATCCCACCTACGCGCCCATCTACGCTGGCATACAGGAGAAAGGCCATTTGTTTGTAATTGGTTGTTCTGTGGAAAGCGCTTCACCCGCTCAGACGAACTACAGAGACACAGAAGAACACATACAGGTATGTAGAAATTAGTTTAATTTGTCTGCGTTGTTAATTTTTTTTTTTTATTGGTGAACTCTATTCTAGTTGAGATCATTAAAATCATTATTCAATAGTTGATGTAATCCTGAAAAAAAAAATCTTAGAAAGCCAACAAAAAGAGTATTAATAATTATTTGATGCTAATAGTTTTGCTTTCATTTCGTACATCATTAACTGTTTGATTGACCTCTACGTCGGTGAACAAAGAAATGATAAAATAAACAGAATTGAGCATCTGTCGTTCCCAGAAGCTTGTCTGATTGCATCATCTGTTCATTGTAATGTCCCACTGCATTTAATTTTGTTTCTCAGATTTTCATGTCTGTTTTTTTCCCCTGTTTTTATTTCCAGGCGAAAAACGTTTTCAATGCTCGGAATGTTCAAAGCGGTTCATGCGAAGTGACCATCTTTCTAAGCACTTAAAAACCCACCAAAATAAGAAAACACCAAATGGTAAACCCCCGCCGAATGTCAACAATAATAATCTTGGTAATGGCACTACACTGGTGAACACTGCGGCAGCTTTGCAGCAACAACAACAACAACAGCAGCAGCAACAACAACAACAACTGTTGCAACAACAGCAAGGCCAGGCCATAACTCAAGTCACCACGACGACTGCAACCATGCCAACCCCCACCATTATCTCTGTGCCAACTTTACATGATGGACATCTTCAAGAAATTCCAGTAACTGCCATACCGATAATCAGTGCTGTTCCGCAACAAACTGCTCAAGTCGTCCCGGTAACTGAATCCTTGCCAGGAAATACATAAATACAATTCTAAAACAATTTTTTTTTTGAATTTTCAATAACGAGCATCTCACCTAACCTCAGTGTCTGTAAAGTTAATGTTTTGTGTTACAATCTAGTTACCTTAGTAACACCTGCATTACCATATCGAGAAGTGTTTTCATTGTGTTAGTTTAAGGAAAAAAAAGATAACACGTTGTGTTAGATATATACAAAGAAATGAGACATCCGAGTCATAACAAGATCATTGTCAATTCTTGTGCCTCATTAATAAATTTTTAGACATGTTTTAACAGAAATGGTAGAAATCATGTAAATAGTAATCATTATGGAAGAAAACCTTTAAAAAAAAAATTATAATATCGATAACCCACCTAAGGGGCTGTCTCAGGCACTGTCGTCTCCCCCTCAACGTGTCTACAAAGTATTACTTTATTTGAGGGTCATCCTCTTGTGTCAAAATAATTTATTGATTTTTCCACCATTTGGTTATTATATATCAACTCTGTCTTTACAGAGGGGTTGCAGGCAGTGCTTGGAAGAGCCCCATTTTTTTATATAGGAATTTGTGAATTTGTTATAGGATTTTATTTTTTAGAATATAATAAAATTTAATGGTGTCATATGGCGGAGGTCAGAAGTGAAAGGTCAAAATCTATGCCGAATGTGTATATTTTAGAAGAAAGTTAATTTATTTTGTTTTTAGTCATGTATGTAAACCGTACAGAAGCATTTTTAGAAGAATTAAGATGCTATGTACTTCTTGTTCAATTGCTATAATACAATTCTTGAAAAAAAAATTGTTCAAACCATTCATTTGCATTGCTTTTCTAAGACTTTTCTTGCTGTATAGTAGATCGCCCTCTATAGTTGGAAACAGCAATCACCTTGAGGAGAGAATAGAAAACAAAGATATTTTTTAAATATTTTTTGTGTGCCAGCAAATAATATATTAAGCTTAATATTTGGCATCAATATTTCATATTTTTATTTGAACTTGTGCCTGAAATCCTAGAAAAAGCTGCCCATCGTGACCCTTAATTATGGAGCAAGACTACATCAATAATGGTAATTGTAAATAGAGGGCAGTGTTTGCATGTACTTGAGCAGGTTGAAGTGTTGTTGCCGTGGTAACCATTTTTATACCTACCTTTTTTTTGTCTGGATGCTTCAAAAGATTTTTTCACTGTTAATGGCTGTTCAAGATTTATTGTTTTACTTACGACTGTGATGCCTACTTTCAGTTCTGCTATTTGTCAGAAACTTTCTCAAATGACTGATATATTGATGCATATTTGTATTTCACTAACATCCCTAACGTTAAAAAAAATGCATCTTATTATAAAACTTCAGTCTACATACTCATTTTTTTGTATGAAAAATCTAAAAAAAATTTAGTTAATGGATAACTAGCATTATTAGTCAATAGCACTGATATGGCCCAGTCGATAGCACTGATATGGACCAGTCAATAGCACTGATATGGATCAGTCATTAGCACTGATATGGACCAGTCAATAGCACTGATATGGATCAGTCATTACCATTGATATGGACCAGTCATTGGCATTGATATGGACCAGTCAATAGAACTGATATGGACCAAGCTAATATCACTGATATTGACTGATAAATTTTCACCTTAGTACTAAGATGAGCAAATATTTTAGTACTGAAGTATGAGTTATGAATTTAACAGTTCACGGCTTGAAAATAGGACACTTAAGTATTGTACTTCCATTCTTGCACGGGCTGGCACCTTTTTTAGTCCCTGTTCGGATGGATTCCGAAGCTTATGTTTTAATGTCGGTGCATTCAGGTGTGTCTGACATCCCTGCTTTGATTCACTTCAAAAATGTTACAGATAGCTAGTACATATACACATGCATTGTGTTTGTGATCAAAGATGGCTGACTGTTGGCCATTTCATGTCTTGTCTGCATTTTCGTCCATATTATTTCAAACATGCTTAGAGAAACACTTCAAATACTGTACTTGTACAATATGGCTTAAATATGCAAATGTTGTCAGTTTGTCATCCAATCAGATATCTCTGCTGGCACCATTATGATGCAATTCAATCTGGCATTCTGATGAGTCAGGAACCATATCTCACACATGTATGTCCAACCTCGTTAAAGGTCTGAAATGTTAACCACGGGGACTATGTCGGGCATAGCTCGTCCAAACTTTAAAATCTAAATCTACTGTTGTATCTTTATCTGAATCAGCCATACTTGTCGTTGTTCGGATGCTCTGGGTATGGCGTCACTGGGACACACTTCTTGCATTAATAAGGAATTTATAGTGGACAGACTATCCAAACATTTAAAATATCAAATGTGCAAAACATAACTGTACTGTAATTAACTAATTATGTCTGAGACATGTATATATTTTTAGCATTACAGATTTGTTTCTATATACAGCAGTTAATCTGGTGAAATGTTTTTACTTTTCATATTTAATTTTAATTTAGTCCGATAGTAGGTTACATGAAGTGGTCTGAAGTTGAACACAGTCTTGGGAGGGGGAGGGAGTGTTACATATCATATCGTGTGTAATATGGAAGACGTCGCTAAGATGGAGTTGTGTACAAGAATTTTACAGTAGTAAAGGAAATAGGTATGGGATTGAAGTGACAAAAGGGTATTGGACGAATAAAAACGTTTTTCTTTTAGTATGTTTGTCGCCGCATAATCGCTGTGCTTTTATTGCAGCGATCAGTCATTCTTTGCAGATGACTGGAAACTTAAAAACCCACCTATCAACTACACCTGTGTACTGCTACCTCTCTATGTTCGTTGAAGTTTTGACTGCATTTCTTCACTATTTTATAGAAGAAAAAAACTAGATGTTTCTATAATTTATCAGTGTTTTACTACACCTGATATTTTTTTTAGTTTATTCTCGGGAAAAAAATCACCGTAACTTGACTGACAAGTTGTTCATATTGATGTGCAGTTTTGTAGATTTTTTCTGATGTACCAGAGTATACAAGAAAAAAGTATTGGTCCGTACGCTTATTGACAATTTATTTGGAGGTATTTATTAGTTATATTTCAAAATTGGCAGATCTGTTGATCATGTTGTCATGGTAACATTAGACTATGTTGATTACTTGCTCAATAAATGAAAGATCCCCATGAAATTTCAACTGTTCTGTCTTTGTTCCGCATCCTTAACCACTGCATCACTTAGATTCCACCTTGAAGACGCAGTAAACCACTTGCCACTCCTGTCTGCGTATTGAGAGCAGCGTACTCAAACCAATGTACATGTCAAATTGGACAATAATAGTGTCGAAATGACAGTTTATACTTATAAAAAAAAATGACCTTTGCTAGTTACATTGATGCAAAAATTCATAGATTATGTTATAAATACTTCAGAGATCCGCTGCATCTGAGTCCTGCTATTTGTGTATATACATGTACTACCATTAAAAAAAATCCAAACGTGGCATTCAATTCAAATTACATCTTCCTACAACCTGATTCACAAATGAACGTTAGGGTGCTCTTTGCTCTACTTCTTTAATTGTAAAGTAGAAAATTTGATGGGAAATTGAACACTGCAGTAATTGTTGTTGCAAGTAGGTTGGTGATTGCATCTTGTAAACAGAGTGAAGAAACAAAAAAGCTATTATTACCTTTGGGAAAGCCCCATTAGAAAATCTTGTTGGAATAAGAAAATTGAAAAAAAAAATCTTACATATATATCTATTTTAATTTGCGTATTGGTTCGGCCATTTGCTTTTCTGGAGTTGTTAATGATCAGTCCTGAAATGTGTATGTTGCGATATTCCCATAATGCACCTCACTCGGGTGACCGGTTGGGAGTACATTTGTAATTATGCTCAGAGAGCAGTCTGATTAAAAAAAGACTCAAGCTTTATTTATCGTTTGTTTTTTATTTATTTTTTTTAATATCTATTATTTATTCATTTCAGACATGAATTATTTTTTTTTTTCATATTTTTTATTTGATTATTCAAAGTTTTGTTCATCACAAAGCCTGCAAGTGATGTCATTATTTATGTTTAAGTGCAACAGGGCGGCGGCAGAGGGAGCAGGCGCCCCCTCAAAAAAAATGTTAGAGGGGTGTCGCCCCTCGAAAATTGAGCTGAAACCCTTTGTGTCAGCAAAATTTGCCTCTTAAAATGCAGGAAATAACGTTTCAGAGGGTCTAGATTTCAAACTTTTTAAGGGGAGTATGCCCCTGGATCCCCCCTAGTAAGCTCGCACATTTGGCGCGAGGGGTGATGAGTAGATCTCGCCCCTCCATGCAAAATTTAGTGCCGACACCTCTGTGCAAGTTATGATATCATTTCATCATTCGATCAATAAAGTAGTATTTTTTTTATGTCTAGATATTATTTTTTTAATTATATTATTTTACAGTGGTGTCCTATTTTACTTATACCGACACCATTGTAAAGTGACCTTTCCTTTTAATCGCACAAATTGAATTCTCTAAAATAAAGCAAAATGTTTATTCACCACTGAGGGGCGCTGTTCCATAATATTGGGCGAGCAACATAAGAGCTATGGCTAACGTTGAGGAACCGATTTGATGTACAATTTAATAGCGACTATAGATTGAATGATATTGATAAAACTAATCACTATTGGTCAAAATAAGTCGATAGCGAGATGACTGAAATCGCTAACGACTTGTGTTTATCGTAATAGGTTGTAATACATACGTCACTGACGACGTCACGGTACAATGTACTTCCAACCAATGGGCAAAGTGGTTTATTTACAAGATTGGGGCTTAGCACATTCGTTATAATTTATGCATTCATTAATAGCGGAGTTTGCTTCTAAGTCAATAAAGGTTTGTTTTTTGTTTGTTTTTTTGTCGATAGCAGCGTTGGAATGTTGTTGATAACCACAGTTGAGGGACTGTGTGATAACGAAACGTGAAGAGTGCTATTTATTGCACTGTCCCTGTTCGCCATATACACCAAGTGAACGGTGAGGGCAGTTGACTATGAGCCGAGTCATTGTCTCATGAGCAGAACCATACGTGCTAGTAACGTCCGAAGTTTAAAGCGGGGGAGTCATCACTTACGCAATCGTCAGATGGCCATAGCGTGTCATTGTTTACAAACAAGCGTGTACCCATGAGCCTTTGCGTTTTTAGCATGTGTTGTTATCATCGCTTGGGACTCAATCCCCGCGCGTGCGCAGGTGACGACCCTTCCGCTTTAAGTTTAGAACGAGTTCATCTGATCCAATAAACTGCCTAAGTAACATTTTCGACGATCCTAATAACAGTTGACACGACACTACACAGATTTTGTTTCTAAAAAAAATACCACGACACGCGAAAATTAGAAGGCATCTGCATTCGTTTTTGTGAATGTGTATGACGAATTAAAAAGGGAATACATGATTTTTGTTGGATTTTTCATGTATTTCGGATGTACTTTGCACAAAGTAAACAGGCTGCTTTCGTAGCACATGGAATAGTATTTAGTTTAATGCGCATGTGATTTGAAATACTGAATGTACGTAGTAGCAATTCGGTAAGATTCATTGAACGAATTATATTTTGTACGCCCAGACAACCTGTTTACGATCGCATACTATAATCCAGCGCGCATATAAATATGCAAAAATCAATGAAAAAAAAAATACAAAATAATTAAAATATTCATAAAGTTTCTCAAATCCCTGACACGAAACAAAAGCCCATGTTTACATCTAGACAGGGGCATGTAGATATTCGTCAACGATATAAGACTGATTGCTTTAATTTGTCACATCGCGTTCAATACGGGTCTCATGCGACGTGCGCAACGACAGTGCTGGCAGTAAATTGACTGGACGTGATTGAGCATTTTTGACACAATTCCGTCACTATGTCTCAACTCACCGAACTTCCTTGCACACATAGCGTTTTGGTAGCGTACTGTACTATTTGTTACCAGGGCTGCCAAATGCCCCGTCTCAGTCGCAGTTCAGATCGTTTCTGTGGTTGGCAACGTTCCGAGATCAGTCGAATTTAGTGGTCCATTTCAGGCTTACTACTTGTATAAGAAATCGTATCGGCGCTCACGGTCAACGCTGCCAGAGACCAACGCTGTCCAAGTTTCCGAGTACTCGCAAACGTATTTGTATTTAGATAATGTCAAAATCAAGTGGATTGCTCTTTGGTAACAATTGCTCCTCGGCCGTACCTGTATAAAATCAGAATACACATTTGTGTTTTAGATTTGCGATGTTCAAAACGTAGTCAAAACAATACCCTGCCTCGCACCTAGTCTTACAAAAATGCCACTTAAACATCTCTCAGTTGACTGCGTTTCTGAATACTGAAAAGTATGGACAATTTTT